AATAAGAGATTCAAAATAGATCTGTCTTTTTTAGGATCCAAAGTGATAAAGGTGGAATTCATGTGAAAATAAAAGATTCTAATAGATCTGTCTTTTTCAGGAACCAAAGTGATACAGGTGGCATTCGTGTTAAAGCCAATTTTCCTTTTAAGAAAAATCTTATCAAAGACTTTCATCAAGTTGCTTCTAATACAATCCCAGCAGTTTTGGAAAAAAGCATAGAAAAGCTATTAGGGCCAGGAGCCTTATCGGCACCAAAAGCCCATAGCGGTTTTTTTACATCCTCCTCACTAAAGGCTCGCAGTATTTTCTTCATCTCTTCCTCACTAGAAGATCTCTCCAATTAATGAGACCTCTTGCTAAAAGTAGGGGACCGTTGGAACCCTGGCTCACTTTGATCCTCTTTATTCCAATTTCTATAAAATTTAGTGATCTCTCTCCCTGTAGAGTTGGTATCCATTCTCAACAGTGCCATCATCTAACTCCAACTCCTTAGTATAACTTTTCATCCACCTCTCATTAGCAAATCATTTTTTTTTTTTGAAATCTCATTAGCAAATCTTATGAAACTGGCCCATATTGGCATCACCCTCCATCCATCTAAAGCTTTGAAAGTTTAAATAGTCTACTTTTCTTTCTGCCTCTCAAGTTGATGTTGCAATTTTACAAGTTTCACTCTGTCAATTTCCTTAAGATTTCTTTATTTTTGCTGAAATTATAACTTCCTGGTGTAGGTCGTCCTGGGAACTTTGTTGGCTGCATTGGTGCCTGTGGTTGGATTTAATGCAGTCATGACATCTGAACATTTTGCGTCATTTTTGGTTAGTTCTCTCTTTCTCTCTCTCGCTCTCACTCTCCCCTTATTTAGTTACTAATTCACCTATGTATGTCCTTTTTAAAATTTATCCTCCATGCAATTCATAATAGCGTTTCTACTAGTTATAGATGTAGGAATGCACCTGCAAATTTAGCTTAGTAAGATATCTCATTTTTCAACTTGGGCATCGAAAATGTCTGAGCTTCTATCCTGCAATGCTTAAGAAAGATATTAAAATCATAATATAGGACTTCGGACAGTGATCATCCTTGATCATTAATATTCACATGCGGTTTTCTTCTTTCTAACTTTGACTCTGCAGGTTTTCATTGTTATCCATGTTGTGGCTCTTGTATATTATATCAAAGGGATTCTCTCTCCCAGAATGTTTAAAGTAGCTGGAACGCTTGTTCTATCTGTTGGCCTGTAAGCTTCCTTGTTTGTTTCTTTTAACATCTTCAGGATATTACTAATTTATATTACTTTAGTAACAAAGGGAAGAATATAGTAAGTATGTATGAACAAAAGTTTCTAAGTAATCAGGTTCTTTAACAATAAACCTAGAATTATTGTAGACTAAGTAGGTAATTTTCAAAAAATTTCACTTTGTACTATGTAATGGAGGTTAAAATGAAACTGATTCTCTTCTACTATTTTGTTCTTCAGGATAGTGTGTCTTGCTGTAATAGCAGTTCTTATAGCACTGGTGGCTTCAAGTCCTACAAAGGGATGGAGTGGACGGAGTTTGAGTCTTCTTGATCCGTAAGTGCCAAGTCTAATGATTCTTATTTTTCTCTTTTATGTTAATTTGCTGTAATCACCTTGTAATCTAGTTATAACCTTTTGACAAATTGTAATTCAAAATGGTTGTAGATTTGAACTTCACTTAAAAAAATTGCTGTAATACCTTGAATAATGGAGGACAATGTGTAATAAATTTTTGGTGTAGGGTACAAGTTGGTTCTATGTTTCTTGAGATTGAAACATATAGAAGTTACCTTAATCTTTAATCGATTGTTATCCCTTTTTTCTTTTCTTAAAATGAAAAAAGAAATTACTATTGACAAGGGACCAAAAGGGTACCATCCGCATGCAAAAAAAGTGTGTTAACAAAATTTAAGGGTAAATTCCGTAGGCTACTTGATGTTTGGATGTAATTACTACTTGAGTTCATTAATTTTCAAAAATATCAACTCAGATCTTGTATAACAAATATATCTGTCAACTTAGTACAGCTTCCTAACAGACATTTGATAATCAAATGTGTTACATATCAAGTCTATGATTTTGAAATAACAAAAAGAAAAAAAGGTAATGGGTGATTCTCCTCGAAAATACACAAAAGAGAAGAACATAGGTTTCAGTTTTAATAATAAAGTAACCGTGAGTGTGCAACAAGAGCATAGAGCATGTATTAGAACCCTAGATTGGAATCTTGGAATGGGTTTGAATGAAGGCAAGGACTCCTTACAAGTGATCCCTTCGTTTCTGAACGATAATAGCTGTTAAGAGAACCTTGTCACCTTTTGAGTGAGAAAAATACTCAAAAAGCTCTTGCTAAATTTTCTACTTCACTAACTCCTGTATTTACGCCAGGACTCCTCAAAAGAGATCCTTTCATTTCTCTTGCATTATACAATTTTTCTACCAAACACAAAGCTCAAGTATCCTTTTTTACCGATGACACTGAGGGGAGAATGGCTTGGAACTTCTACTTTAAACACTAATACCAATCTAATAGGGAGTCTTTCGACATGTCATCTTTATTGTCCAATTTGGAATCCGTTCAAATTTTACCCCAGCCAGGCAACCGATCCTGGGATCTTGAACTATTAAGGACATATATACATATAAATCATTATTCGACTACCTTAAAAATCCCACTTTCTCTTCTTTTCACATTGCTAAAATATTTCGGAAGCATCAGTACCTTCTTTCCACATAGCTAAATTATCTAGAAAATCACTTAAAAATGTATGAGAAAGTGCTCAAAAAATTTCTTATTGAAACGTTAAACTTTTCGAAATCGATTTGCCTTTTTGGGAGGAGAAAGGAAGATTGTTTGGTAGAGTCATGGCGTTAAGTAGTTTTCTGAAATTTAAGTGAATAAAGAGCTTAAGGGTGAGCCATTTTTAAGTTGAAATGTGAGAAGAAAACCAAGGAGGAAAAAGAGATTTACCGTGTGAAGATCGAAGGCTTTCTGGTTTCTTCCCAAGATTCTCTCTTTCTCTCTCTATAAACCGTTGGTTAAGTGAAGGAGAAAAGAAAATGGAAGGAATGGGAGAAAAGAGGAAGTGGAGGGACTTTAAATAGCCTTGGGAGGAAAATGCATGTTTGCCACGTGGCGGTGTGCATGCCTACCACGTGGCAGCATGTGGAGGGGGAGCAGTCGGCGACCGCGACTGATGGGAGACGATGCGACGGGCGGCTGCGGTGACGCAACGACTGACTGCATGCAGGCTGAGGGGATGCGTGCTGTCAGCACGTAGGCGTGCGCATACGTGCATGCACAGGTGCATGTGCACATAGGCGCGCAGGCGCGAGATGGACTGCGCGACGTGACCGCGCGTAGGCACGTGTAATGTGACATTGCGCACAACATAGGACGTTCCTGTGTGCGCGCGGGCTCACGGGTGCGTGGGCTTGCTGCCTTGCGGGTCGTTTCCGTGGATCGCGGGATTTTTCCCTGCCGTTTTTCGTTTTTCCAATTTTTTTTCCATTCTTTTAAAGAATTATAATAATTTTTGACAAAAATCACTATAAATAAAAATAAATAAAATAAATTCTATAATTTGATAAAACAAAATATTTAAAATTAAAAACACTCATAAGCGAAGTAAATTTTAAATTTCAAATAGATTTTTAAATTAATCGTTAAAGGCCGTAATGTTTGAAAATATAGAGTTTAAAATATCGCATTCGAACACAGGTTTTGGGGTGTTACATCTTCCCCACCTTACAAAAATTTGTTCTTCCAAATTTGAAAAAGTTTAAAACAACTAGGTATACTTGTCCCGCATTTCATCTTCCAATTCTCACGTTGCTTCGCTTAGAGTGTGATGTTGCCATAACACCTTGCCGTAGGAATTCTACTGTTGCGCAAAACCTTCTCCGTCCAATCAATGATCTTGATAAGGTACTCGGCATAAGTCATGTCTGATTGGGCGAAAGTTTGCTGATGCGGAATGATGTGAGAAGGTTCATGGTGATACATTTTGATCATGGAGACATGGAAAAGATCATGTAGGTTGGCAAATTCCAAGGGCAATGCAAGACAGTATGATTGATTCCAGTTTTCCAAAAGGAGTTGAACATGAGACAGAGATATTGGATTGGTCTCTTGAAGGACTACGACTGTAAGATCCTGCACCACCCAGATAAGAGTAATGTAGTCGCTGATGCCTGTAGTCGAAAGGACTCAGGCATATTGGCCTAGTTGATGGTTTCTAGCTGGAGGATGCTCGAGACAATTCAAGGTGTCTGATTAAAACATTACGGAAAAGATGCATACCTTGCCCAAATTCAGATCTAGCCTGCCCTCTTCACGAGAATTTGGGAAGCTCAAGCAACGAATACTGAAATTTTGAAGCATATAGATAAGTTTGCATCCGAGAAAGTCCGCAACTTCAGAGTAACCAATTATGGACTGTACAGATTCCAAGATCGAGTATGGGTACCTAGCGACCTCGACTTCAGATTGGATGTTCTGAAGGAAGCCTATGCATCCAAGTTGTCTATCCATCATGGAAGTATTAAGATGTAGTGAAATTTGAGGCGTCGTTTCTGGTGGCTTGTTATGAAAAAAAAATATTGTTGAGTTTGTCTCTCAATATCTCACATGCCAAAGAATAAAGGCAGCACATCAAAGACATGATGGCCTTTTGCAAGCTCTTCCCATTCCAGAATGGAAATGAGAGCATGTGACTATGAACTTCATCACGAGTTTGCCGAGGATGAGTTCATATCGTAATGTTATTTGGGTCATTGTGGATAGATTGATCAAATCCGCCCATTTCCTTGCAGTCAAGACTATTGGCTCAACTAACAAGTTGGTCCGGATGTATGTTGAGGAGATTGTCTGGCTCCATGGTACTCTTGTTTTCGTGGTTTCAGATAGGGATCCTCGTTTCACCTCTCATTTTTGAAAAAGTTTCCAAAAATCTCTTACCTGAAGTTTGTACTTCAGTACTGCTTATTATCCACAAACTCATGGACAGTCTGAACGGACCATTTAGACATTGGAGGACAAGTTGCGTGCCTGTGTACTGGACTTTGGAGGCAATTGGGATCAGCATCTCCCCCTTGTTGAGTTTGCCTGCAACAACAACTATCACTCCAGTATCGGAATGACTCCATTTGAAACTCTCTATGGTAGGCCCTGCCAATTCCCACCTCTTCTTACATTGTAATATAGTATGGAGGATGTGGGTGAAATTGGTGAGTTTGTTGGGCTGAATTGGGTAATGCCTCCAACTTAGAAAGCTTTATTTGTGAAAGCATTTATAGAAGGGGTGA